CAACCCAAGGCAAGAAGCAACCCATTCTCACTGTAGACCTTTGGAATCTCAGTATGAGGAGACTCCTCAACCACCATGGACACTTGAGTTGGCAGGGAAAGTTTCTTAGAGAAGTGATAGCGGCACAACTCCAGCCAGGGACAGAGTGCAGAGGATGTCCCGTAGCAGCAACTGTAGTGGAGCACTCTCAGAGGCATCAATCTCCGTAGGCTAGAATCACTCTCTTAGGACAATTTAGCCCCAGAGGAACTTTTGGACCTCAACTCTACAGGGCAATCTCATTCATGAGACAGGACCAGTCCAACCAGAGCACCTCTCAGTCTGCTGGCCTCCTGCAAGGCCCCAGCCTGGCCACAGCTGCTTGCAGCATAGCTGCCAGGTGCCTCCTGAGGCCCACATCATAGCTGGTGGATCACGCCTGACTGGCAGAGTGACCTCTGCAGACAAACAAGAGCTCATTTGCACCGATGGTCGCCTTCCACATCGTTATGCCTGTGACTGTATGCCCAGACAGACCTAGCCTTCCCTTCCCCACCAGTACACTGGTACTGGAACTCCTACACCTTGTCTTGCCATTGCTGCTGGCATGATTGCACCCCCTCACCCCTCCTCACACCTCACCACACAACCATTGTCTTCAGAACATTGGTGGGCTCAGAGAACCCCAGACCCAACCGTGCTAGCACCCTGCTCCTGAGCCTGGGTCACCAGAGCAAAACTAGGCATGGAAAACAGTAGACAAGCCCCAGCCTTAAGCAGACTGCTGCCAGCGTGAACATGCAGAGGGCACACAAAGTCCTACACCCACCAATGCTCCACCTCCATGCTAAACCCACATGCACACAGTCTCAGTGGAGACTCGTCATTCCCACCAAGCCATACGGCCACCACTGCTGCTGCAAATGTCCACATTAAGGCTACTACCCCAGGACCATGAGAACCCTACTGCAGCAAATGGAGTTTGCACTCTTCAATGCTGCTGCTGCTGCCACTGCTGCTGATGACACATGGGAACAAGGACAGATCCCACTGTCACTGCACTGTGAAGTGCTCTGGCTGACACCCTCAACTGGAGTGTTGTGACCAGTGGTCTGGTAGCACCTCAGCCTCTTCAGTATAACAGGTTCGTAAACTAGAGGAGCCAGAGATCAAAGGTGGGGACTGATACCAGTCTACCAGAGTTACAGCATGAGATCCAGGCAGGAGTTCTGAGCTGAGCCTTGGCCCCTGAAAGTTTTCAGTCATGAGGTCAGTTGACTGAATCTACCTTATATCACAATCAAACCCCCACAGTCATCAAACAGGATGAAAGAAAAGAAAATAGCACATCCACAGGAAAGCAACTTCAAAAATTTAAGAAACATCAGCCCACAAAGATGAGAAAGAACCAGCACAAGAACTCTGGCAACCTAAAAAGCCAGAGTGTTTTCTTATCTCCAAATGACTGCACTGGTACTCCAGAAGGGTTCTTAATTGTACTGAGATTTCAGAAATGACAGAAATATAATTCAGAATATGGATAGGAGCAATCATTGAGATTCAGGAGGACACTGAAACCCCATCCAAGGATCAAGGAATTAATATAAAATGACATATGAGCAGACAGATAAAATAGCCAGTATAGAAAACAATGAATCTGACCTAACAGAGGCAAAAAACACTCTACAAGAATTTCATAAAGCAAATCCTAAGTATTAGAAGCAGAATAGATCAACCTGAAAAAAGGGATCTCAGAACATGAAGATGGGCTTTCTGAA